TGGGGAAGGTGGAGCAAAGTAGGAAGAGAGGAAGGCCACATGCTAGATCAGGGACAGGCAACCTGTCCCCTTTAAGGGCCGAGGGACTTCAGCTCCCAGAATCCCAGGAGCTATTGGCCAACATGGGACTATTGGACAACATGGCTGAGGCTTCTGGGAGCTGAAGTCCTTCGGCCCTTAAAGGGAACAGGTTGCCTACCCCTGTGCTAGATGGATGGACTGAATTGAGGAGGTCATGGGTATGGGGTTGTAGGAATTAAGCAGAACAGTGGAGGACAGAGGGTCTTGGAGACGTCTCATCCATAGGGCCGCCATGAGTCGAGATCAACTCAAGGGCAGTTAACAACAACAAAAGAAATCCAGGCTTTTATTAGTGAGGTAGCCTTTCTACATTTTGTTCTAGGGTGCTCCAAAGGGGCTATGTACACTTTTTGTAAGTGCTCCTTCCAGCAGTGTTGAGAACCAGGCTTCACAGTGTTCATTCTATTTAATTGTGACCTGAATGTTGCTTACCTCATACAAAATTAAGTAAGCTTTATATTTTAAAAATAGAGCTCATTCCAAAGGATTCCTGTTGAGCTAGAGGATAATATTTTTTTTTCTAAATAGCTGAACAGAAAAAAAAAATACAGCCCACACTCTTAGGTCCAAATAAGAAAAGTGCCTACCCCCACCCCCATGGTATTGTAGCAATTTTTCTTGAAATTGGAAAGATAGGAGATCCCTTCTGACTCAGTATGGCTGAATTGGCTAATTGACTTTTTATTCAAACCTACAAGGAGATGGAACACATTGTACATAATTAATACCCTGCACTTGGATTTGTTTTACATTCTTTCTCAAAGGAGGTTTCATTGTGTATCTAAAGACATCAGATCAATCCAGATAGACTCATGATTCAGCTTGCGTTTATGATAAGGGTGCTGAATAATCACTGTTTATGTAAAGATGGTGAGGAAAAAGGTTCTTCTCACTGGTGACTGAGCATCCATTTTATAATCCAAATGCTGTGACAGTGGATCATAGCAAAGACAGTTGAGTTCAAAATGAAGATTAAAGTTTATTTTGAACCCTCTGAGCCTAAAGTGCTTTGTGCATTCTTCACATACGTTATAGACAAACGATGTAAACATTTGTGCTGGAAATAGTTAATTAGTTAATTCTGATAGAAAACTTAGAAAATTATTTTCTTACAATTAATTAAATTAATTCAAATATAGTGGACCCTTCCCATCTTCAGGGGTTTAATTGGGGAACTCCCCGCAGATGGCAAAAAATATGGATGGTCATACCCATTTATTAAATGGCAGTGACATGTGTGTGGATACTTCAGCATGTCTGCATGCACATACCACCACTGAATAATATGGAGCATGGTAATCCATGGGCAGCCAGATCCATGAACCATCAGCCTGCCAATATGGAAGGCCCACTGTAATAGAATCATATATCACCCTGCATCAGTGCCTTTGAGTCTTTATAGGAAGTCTATAAATCATCTGTAAATCCTCTGGCAAGGATACAGGAGAGAGCTTTTTGAATAGCTGCTTCTAGGCTATGGAACTCCCTCCCAAGGGAAACTTGGGTTCTACTCTTTACTAGCTGTCAGGGAAAGACTTTTTTATTCAGACAAGCCTTCAGCCTTTAATGGGTTTAGATAGAAAACTGTTTAATGAATGTACTGTATCTTTTGCAGTGGGCCCTTGGTATCTACTGTGATTTGTTTCCATACAAAAATCCATCAATGTTCAAGTCCCATTAATGGCATAGTAAAATGGTTTCCCTTATATAAAATGGCAAAATCAAGTTGGGTTTTTTTTTCTTTAAAATATATATACATATTACATAATTTCAAGCCATAGATGCTTGAATCTGTTGATAAAAAATAATGGATATGGAGAGCTGACTATACCATCTATTGAATGTGTTTGCAACAGTTTTAAATTGCTGTTTTCATTGTTTTGATTGTTTAATGGTTTTTAAATCTTTGCAATGTATATAATTTAAGCTCTCTCTCTCTCTCTCTCTCTAAAAACTTATATTGTAAGCCACTGGGATAAAGGCAGAGTTCAAAGTTCATATACAGAGAAAAGAGCAAGCTGAAGTTAATATCTAGTAATGAGCAAACATGTTACTTGAAAATGGTATCTGTGCTAATTCAACATATGTCTTCTTACTTAGTGATACTGATACTGCCTGTTATTCTACTAAATAGTGTTAATAGAGAGATCCATAGTTACAGGAGTTCATTAGAGTGATTACATAGTTATAGGAGCTACAGATAAATTCTGCCCATTCCCTTTATCGCTTTAGCCTCTCCCCCGAAGTATAACTTAAATGAGATGTGCTGACTTGAGATTAATATAACAGATTCATAAAGGTTGTTATATCTATGCCTTCAGTGGCTCAAGTGGTTAAGACACAGACTCTGTTGATTGCAAGATCGGCAGGTTGGCAGTTTGAGGCTGGGGTGCTGCATGATGGGGTGAGCGCCTATCGCTAGTCCCAGCTTCTGCCAACCTAGCAGTTTGAATACATGAAAATGTAAGTAGATAAATAGGTACCACTTTGGTGGGAAGGTAAACTGCGTTCTGTGCAATCATGCTGGCCACATGATCACAGAGTAGTCTCTGACAACACTGGCTCTTTGGCTTAGTAATGGAGATGAGCACTGCCCTCTACAGTCAGATGCGAATTGATAACCTTGTCAACGGGGAATACCTTTACCTTTACCTAGATATAGAAATCAGCAGTAGTTTTAGTTCACAAAAGAATTTTAATGGCAGAAATGAATTGATAAATGGACCGAGATGGCTCTGTAAAAGTTTTCATTTTACAGTTCTCTGTTGAAAAGGGGGGGATGTTCTAGAGAAGTTGATGCTGTTAGTTTAATAAACTTCCCAGCATTATTAACATTATGCAGTTTCTTAATCTGTGTCATTCCCGTGATTGATTTTAAAGAC